CTCCAGATATAGCTAATATTCAGAAATGGAATCTAGCACCTGCCTTCCAGATTTGAACACCCTCAAAATTCAGGAGTGCTCAAGCTCAATTTGGGCACCTGTTACTTCATTTCCCCCAAATCAAATATACTGATCCACTGTAACTTGCTGTAGAAAAAGTAGAATAAATTGAGCAAGAAATGCTTCCCAGTGGTTAGTAGGACTGGAATTGCTATTTTCAACAGCCATTGTTTTTTTTTTCTTAAAGTTTTAGTTTTATTTGTTTAAAAGAAAGACCGTGATAGTGCATTCCCCATAGAAACAAAGAGTGGAACAAAAGAATAATAAAGGCACCTCAACTTTTCTTCACTTATGTAGGACAGTCTTATAATGTGCATCCAGATATCCTCCAGTCACACAAGCTGAAAATTGATCCACTTTACTGCAGTTCTGTAACCATATGGGAAGCAATCCTGTCTGTGTTCTGTGCACCTCCAAAATTCCTGCTGAATGACCCGCCCTGGGAGCGAGTTACCAGTGACCCAGGGCTGGGGCAGCAGGAGTGTGCAGTTGGGAGGGGGAGATCCCAGGGCTGGGGTGGGGGGCAGCCAAAAATTTTTTTGCTTGGGGCAGCAAAAAACCTAGAGCGAGCCCTGGTAGGGGCAGGGCATTCAAGAGGGCTGAGAGGAGAGCGGAGCTGGCCGAGGAGCCCGCTGTGTGAAGCCAGTTGCACAGGCAGCGGAGTCATTGGCATGCGGCAGGTGGCGCCTGAGAGCCACGCTGGACTGTGGCTGGCGACTCCCTCCCAGTGGGCTCGCACATGGCACGCGCCTCTGTGAAAAGCCGCGCGCCGCTCTGGGTCAGCTCACTTGTGCCGGGAGAGCCTCAGCAGGAGGAGCGGCCCGTGAGTCTCCGGCTGCTGCTGCTGCAGGCGCTCCAAAGCTCCGCCGCCTTCCCCCTTCCAGCCCCGAGTCCGATGCAGCCTCAGTGTCGCCCAGCGGGTACGCGCCGAGGAGGCATGCCAAGGAGCGGGGCGGCGGCAGCGGCACTGCCCTCTGCCTGCATCCCTCACCCTTACTGCTGCGCGGGCAGAGGGGGCGAGAAACCAGGCACCAGAAGCTGCGTCTGCTTTTAAGAGGCGTTTCCCCCTTTTCCCCGCGGGATCCTGGTCCCCAGCCTCCCGCCCTCCCCGTCCCATCCACTATGGTGCTTCAGCTTGGGACTTTGCACCCCTGTTCCTGTGCATGGCTCCATTGCGTGCCGGAGGAGAACTCGGTACCGTCAGAGCCCTAATTAGGAAGGATGGCTTCGGGGGATGAGCACAGCCTCAGGAGCGGCGAGGAGAGCCAGCTGCAGCTGACTTGCTGAGGAGGGTGTGATCCCCAGGCTGGCTGTGGGGGTCCCCCAGACTTCAGCCCACCTCCCCCGCTCTGTCAGGATCTGCGGTCCGGGTCCGGAAGATCCCCGCCTTGTATCAGCGCAGCAGCAGCAGCACATCGCGGCCAACTTGCTGGGAGAGAGCAGCCCCTGGACTGGGTTTCGGGGCTCCCCCCTCTCTGTGAGGCGCTGCTGTCCGGGCTGAGGAGCCCCTCCTCCCACTCCCTGAACCCAGCCGCAGCAGAGCCAGGGGCTGACTTGTTGGGGAGCGGGCAGAGCCCGGGCTGGCTTTGGGGTCCCCTCGTCTGCTGCCGGGGCGGCCGCGGGCAGGGAGGTTGGACTTGGGCTGCCACCATGTCTAAGGCGGCGGACAGCGGCGGGGCGGTCCCAGCCGAGGACCTGTCCAAGGTGTCCGACGAGGAGCTGCTGAAGTGGAGCAAGGAGGAGCTGATCCGCAGCCTGCGCAGGGCCGAGGCGGAGAAGATGAGCGCGATGCTGGACCACAGCAACCTCATCCGGGAGGTGAACCGCCGCCTGCAGCTCCACCTCGGCGAGATCCGCGGCCTCAAGGTGAGGGGCGGGGGCAGAGGGGGCCGCTGCCGCCTGGCACTGGGCAGGGCCCCTGCGCCTAGCCCGCTTCAGGTGCGGTGCTGGAAGGGTTTGGCTGCGGGGCTGAGCCCGCTGCCCCTGTGGTCTGTTGGTCTGTTCTGTGCTTGGAGCAAATAAAATTTGGCAAGTCTCCTGGTGGTATTTTGCGGGAAGGTTTGGAGAAGAGAAGCACAGATTCCCCATGAGGTTAGGGGGATGGGGAATGATGAATGTGTCTCTCTCCCCCACATCCCTGGACTGGCAGAGGGCCTTCCGTGGGTTCAGGGATCTGCCCTTTCAAACGGGGGGGGGGATTTCCTATCTGCATGTGCATCATCCAGGGACAATTCCCCTACCTACCCAAATGTTTTTACTCAGTCATTATGTAGGTAAATTCTCACGGAGGGTTGATAGGTGTTTGGACAGAGTAAAACCTGAAAAAGGATGGCTGGATTCAGCCCACAATGAATAGGAGTTGCTTCTTTAAAAAAATCACTCAACTTTTATCTCCTCCCTAGAGCGTGCAGGAAACAGAAATGGCAAACTGTGTGCAGGGTGTAGAATGAGTATATGGTACAATGTACATCAAAAACTTTTTTGTGGTGATGGGTACCTTTGATTCTTTGAATTCTTGCCCTCAAAATGTATAGATTTCAGTAGGTTTAAATGTTCTCATTTCAAGTGAAAGGATAAAATATATAATGCTGGATAGATTAAAAGATTGTTGTTTTTAAGATTGTCTGACTGTCGTGTTAACTCTATTGCTGTCTTAAGATTGTTTCTTACTTTATCAATAAAGCTTCTAACCAGGCTTCTGGGAAGCCTTGATCATTTTCAGTGTGCAGCACATAGTATTTATGCTTTCCAATCCTGGGACAGATTGTTGGAAACCTCTCTGATTTTGGGTTCACCAATACCATGCTTTGATTTCTTTAGTGAGAGCATGTCCTCTGATTAAACACTAATATTTTTCTGATTCCCTCCTTTAATTTTTTTTAAAAGTCCAATTGCAGTTGAAACTCTTCTCGAGCAAGATATTTTAACAAAATCTATCAGTTGGGCATATCTTCAGAGAGTTTCCACTTTTTGACGTGCTGTTTCTGTTTTAAGACCTGATCCAACCATTCTAAATGGAATATTTCCATTGACTTCAATGGGAGGCAGATCAGGCCTGTAATTATTTATTCCTAGATGTTTTAATGTTTTCTGGGTGAGAGGCATAATCACTCATGGATGCTCACCCTGCCTTTGAGAACTGCGGCTGTGTCATAGCTACAGCTATGATGTAACATGCCAAAGCTGTTATATGGAACAAAAATTTACTCCAGTTGGGATTTATATAGTTTATATAGCTCACAAACACTTTCCATCCTGTTATTCTGAGGGATGAAATTCTCAGGGAGTTCATTAACTGAGTTGAAACTGAGGGGTTATGAGGGGGTAATGAGAAGAGACACATAGGGAGAGGTATGGACTTATGAAATATTATCTGGGGAAGTTCTTGTCTGACAAAGTAGAGCAGATGCATACAGTTAGCCCATATTATGTACTGTGGTTAAGAAAAACCTCTTCTAATGCGCTAGAAATGGCGATTGATAATGGTGTAGAATAAAACAGAAAATCAGTGAGAGAGAGAAGACTTCATTCCCCTCCTCATATGTCCTGTTCTGCAAAGCATCACTAGACCTGTTTCCACTTTGGCGGTAAATGACATCTGTCTGCACTTCAGGAGGTGCTGGGGTCCCATCTGATGATACAATTATCTTAGTTAAAATAAAGCTAAGGTTCTAAATTACAAAAGCAATGCAAGGAAATGCAGAGTTTAGGCTGTTACTCTCTCTGCTGCTCTCTCCCTTGGTATTGCAGGGGTGTGGTTAGAGTGTATGGGCTTATATACCAGGTAAGTTTAATTAAGAAACCACATTGGAATGTGATAGTAACTTATCACTCATTCCCTATCTTAACTCTGAACTTTCTAAGCGATACTTTTATTTCCCCCTTTTTCTTCATATTTTTGAACTGGGACTTGAAAATGAATTTTCTTCTAATAATTCATAGGCCTGCTTTGTAATGTTTTAAGTATCCATTGTAGATGTTATTCATTACAGAAGCCTTATTCTCTCTTTAAAAGCTTGAGCTTAGTTTCAGAAGGCTACATGGTTGTGATTTTCTAAGGTGTTTAAGGGAGTTAGGTGCCTACTCTCCACTGAATTTCAATGGGATTTGGGCACCTAGCTTCTACATCTTCCTTTAAAAATCTGAGCTTGTATAAACATTGCTGAATAAACATCCTTCTTTGCTACTAGGAAACAAAAAGAAAAAGGATTTTCCCTAATGCTAAAACATCATATGTGTAATTCATCTCTGTATTTCAAATAATACAGAAGAAAGGAAGAAGAGGGAAGTATAGGAAATGTATTTAAAGCGTGAGCATTTACAAAATAAATATGTGTCACAAATTCACAGAATGTTACAAAAGCATTAAAAGGTGGAAAAGAATACCCTGAGTTGCAAATGATGAATATAATCATAGGCCAGATTATTAAAACTAGGAACAACTATAACGAATGCTTTTGCATCATGTCCTGCTATAGCAATATGGCCGTTATGTTCTTATGTTTTTGAATGTTTTTATTTTAGAGCATGAATGTTCAGTAGTTAGAGAAGGGCATGGGGTTTGTACTTCTTAGTCTTCTTTGAATTGAGACTATTAAGAGTTATTTATAGGAAATGATTTCATTTCAGAATGGCTGAACCAGTCTGGACTAAATCAAACCTGATCAGATTCTTTTGTCCAAAATTGGAATCAAACCAAATGAAACCCCAAACTCTTTTGTGCTCTGAAAAGTATGATTTTATATATATAAACCTTCCTTCAATCATCTATCGATATCTAGATATCTAGATATAGATTAGATTATAGATATAATAAAATCAAAGTATAATCATATATACAATCATTAATGCCTCTACACTTCCTGTTATTCAGCAATAACACAAAAGAGGACATTTCATGATAGTGGAAATCTTCTGAGAGAAGCTATGATAAATATATTTTTTCTATCCTGTTTGATATTAAAAGGTTATAGATGAGTTTTGGTAAAAAATTGAACTTTTCACACCATATCTGAAATTAACCTCTGAACCTTTGAGATTCATTCAGTGAGATGTTTAGTTTTGTGCTGCCTAATGTCTTTGTTTTACAGAAACATCATGCAGTCATATTAGGCCAATCGTACATACAAAATTGATTGACGTATGCTGATTGGAGCAGGATGGGGAAGTTAGATGACATGTCTCTAACAGCTCTGCTAATCGGCTTATGTAATGTTAACATTAGAATGAATATTAATTTTTAGACACGTCTCTCTAATTATTTTCTTTCTTTTAAAGGATATCAATCAGAAGTTGCAAGAAGATAACCAAGAACTGAGAGACCTTTGCTGTTTTCTGGATGATGATAGGCAGAAAGGCAAGAAGGTATCACGAGAGTGGCAGAGATTGGGCAGGTACAGTGCTGGGGTTATGCACAAAGAGGTTGCCTTATATTTACAGAAACTGAAAGAATTGGAAGTGAGACAAGAAGAAGTGGTTAAAGAAAACATGGAACTGAAAGAACTATGTGTTTTGCTGGATGAAGAGAAAAGTGGTGGAGCAGGCAGCAGGAGTTCCATTGACAGCCAAATCAGCCTCTGCCAGCTAAATGCAACAAGTACTTACATACGAGATGTTGGTGATGGGAGCAGCACCTCTAGCACTGGAAGTACGGACAGTCCAGACCATTATAAACACCATCCAAATACTAGTCCTGAACATCTCCAAAAAAGTAGGGGTGAGGGAAGCCCGGAGCATCAAAAACATAGGAGTGTTAGCCCAGAGCATCTCCAAAAACCTAAGAGTTCTGGAAGTCCAGACCACCAGAAGCATCTAAAAGGACCAAGTCCAGAACATCATAAAAATGTTGGCAAAGGTAGTCCTGAACAGCAAAAGCACACCAGTAGTAGTCCAGAAACTCTTCCAAAGCACATTTTAAGTAGTAGCCCTGAACATTTTCAAAAACATAGACCTAGTAGTAGCCCAGAGCATCAAAAGCACAGCAGTGGCAGCCCCGAACATCTTCAAAAACACACATTGAGTGGAAGCACAGAACATCTCCAGAAAGTGAGGGGGACAAGCCCTGAGCATCTCAAACAACATTATGGGGGGAGTCCGGAGCATCTCAAACATCTCAGTGGAGGCAGCAGAGAAGGTACCCTCAGAAGACAAGTAGCAGATGATATGTTACCTCATCACAGGAGTGTATACAATGGAATGAATGGTGGGTCAATATATTTACTGAAACTACATTAACAAAGACTACTGAAGTCGACGTAAGATTATACCAGCCACTTTTGAAAAGAACAATTACATGTAATGATAAAGCCAATAAGAGCTAGATATTATTATTATTATTATTTCATTATGAAGTGAGGCAGGCATAATGTAGCCATTCAGACATCTATCGGCCATTAGACTTAATAGATAAGTAAGGGATAATGCAACCATGTCACTTAAGTGTGTAAATGTCATGTCTGTGACAGATTAACAATTCTAGTCCCTGATCCTACAATGATAGTTATATAGACAGACCCTTATACCTATGTGGAATTACATTGAAGTCAGCTATTAGATAATAACAACTTCTGGTTAGGTCTGAGGCTGACTGGATGTGAGCCACCTATTTAAAGTTGAAAGCTTCCCCATCTCAGTGCCAGTTTCCTGCGCCCGCCCATCTTCTAGTTAAAAGATGAATCAGATAGCTTCCTGAAGGCCGTTACTTGGCCATAGCCCCTACAGTGTCCCAAACCCTATAGTTGGTATATATCTATTAATGAATTGAAAATAAAATGAACAGGATTAGAGAGAATTTTAAGTATTTTTTTCCTGCTCTTTAGTGTTCCAACTCCGGAAGCACATGCTTAAGTATCTTTCTGAATTGAGCCTTGGTATTTTGGCAGGAGAAAAACATTATGGAAGCATCCTATAGAAATTAATAGACTACAATACCTTTTAAAATCAACCTATAGAACTCAATAAAATAGTCTACCTCTTTTATAGAATGGATGAAAAACCCATCTATAAATTCTATAGATCTTTCCAGTAATTTCCATAGAATCTGCTTGATTTAATTCCTTTTACATTCTATATGATGTTTTCATAAGGGAGGGCCTGAGTCTTAGTTATGCAGTTATAAAACCCATTCCTCACCTCTTCTTACTCTGATTTGGAGTAGGGCATCCTACAACTCTGCCGACAATGGAAATTTTGCCTGAGTAAGGGGCTGAGGATAGGGTTTATAGGCCCCAGCTCTGAAAGGCCAGAGCCCTGCACCTGCATGGAGCCCATTGACTAAAATGGAACTCTGCACTGGCATAAAGGTCTTCCTGTGTGGATCTGCTTTTAGGATCAAGGCCATAATGAATTACATGCCTGGGTTGCAATCCTCATCAGCTTGTAACATTGCTCCCTCAAGTCAATCCATTTATAAATAATGCATGACTTACAAGAGGGTTTCGTTTATGAGATGACCTACTCCTCAGGCCTGTGGACTGGCTTATTCCTAGTGAAGTGTGGATTCACAACACCACCAAACCCCGAGGGATGGTTAAAATATGGAGATTTCCAATTAATTTTTAAAACAATTAATTAAAGTGAATATTTGAAAAATGAGAATGTAGATTTAAAGATATAGACATTTTAAAAACTTCTTATGCTTTATTAAAGTATATTTCCTTTTTCATTCAGTTTATTTCATTTAAAATGAATGAAAAACATTGAACCTCATAATATTTTAATGTAGTGATACATTTTCAAAGGACCTCCTTATTTGCAACCACGTTATTCGTGAATCTATCTACTTTGATACCTTAAATCATTTCTTAGCACACCCAAATATATATTTGCATGCTTGCAGACATAGATGCAGGTTTTCTGTGTGCAAATGGCCATGCTAACTAATATTCTACATACAAATAATCAGATCCCTTGAAAATTTGGCCAAGTTATTTCCAATGAAACTAGAGAAGTTGCAGGTTTAAACCTGAAGTGATTGGCATCTCTTGAGTAAAGTATTCCAGCTTTCCACAATTTGGACTGAAGTCATAATGAGCTGAAGGGAGGAGTTTGGGAGTCTCTCTGTTAACTGTTGAGCTGGATCAGACTTTACGTCCACTCAAAATGCTCCTTCAATCCTGCCCATTATCTAATCATGTTAGTGGAGGCCTTTGGTGCTCAAGGGCCTTCACTGTACTTTTCCTTTGTTTTTGTATAATATGACTTAAGCGTGAGTTAAGTAAGGTAATTGTGAGGTTCACGTTTGAAGTTAGTCTGACCCTGGGGCCATAGAAATCAATGGCAAACTCCTAATGACTTCAGTAGTGCAGGATTAAACCCTCTAAGTTAAAATTTAGGTAACTTTTCTGCTTCCGAACTATACTGTAACTGTTTTGTCAATTACTCTAAAAAAATTGCAAGATAGACATTGATAATAAAGAACTACATTTTCATAAGTGGCCTGTAAATCTGTGTTTGCACAATTCTATGCATACTGATACATGTGTAAAAAGCCTGCACATTTGAGTGCAGATTAGAGAATTGTGAATTAGATTACCCAGAATTTGAGTGCAAACTCAGGTTTTACATGTGCAAAGATGATGCAATTTACAAGCATGAATGTAGAGGGCCCTTGTGAAAACTTGCCCCAAAACATAGTGGAATAGAATAAAAATAATGCTATAATCATTGCATTAAAAAAATCAAACTTGTTATAGGTACTTGGGATCCTGTGTGGGTTAGATAAAAATCTAGATAAATTTCCATCTCAGTACAAGACAGCATGTGTTTGATCAAATATCAATGTATAGTGTTCATTTATGAGGCACTGGCAATCTCATTGCGATATTATTTGTGACTATCATTTGTTTGACCAACAGGAATAAAATGTTTATGTTAGCGTATGATGAATAGAAAGGTTTAAAATCAATGGAAAGATACCCATTGACTGCAGTGGGCTTTGGATCGGGCTGTAATTCTGCCTGATGCCAAACCATCCTGTGATGTGCAATGGTCTCTCAGTTCTTACTGACTTCAGTGGGAGGTGAGGTTAGTTAGTGCTTTGCAAGATTGAGCCATATGTAGGGCTAGAAATTGTGTGTGTGTGTGTGTGTGTGTGTGTGTGAGAGAGAGAGTAAAATTTGGTATGCATATTACTCTAACATTAACATTTTGTGGATTTTTTTCTGCAGTGGGGACATGAACATCATTATTTCTGTAAAAACACAAAAGAGAAAAATCCTAACATACACACAAATGTTTGTTCCTTATTACAGTTGCGTTGTTTGCTTTGGATGTTGTTAATCTTTTACATTTATACTACAAATTTTGTCTAAGATTTCTAATTTGGCAGTTTCAAATAACATGGGCCTGAAGCAACATAGCAGATTATGGTCATGTCACTCTTATGTGACAGTTACCAGCCTGAACACAAAATGAGTTGGTTTTTTGTGGATATGAATCCATTTCCAATTTATAAATTGTGAAAAAATAGAAAATGCTTAGAATTAGAGGTGCTCCTTTTTTTGCTGAACATTATTTTGAAAAAAATGTATTATGCAGACTTGAAATGGACTAATTGCTCTTGGTATTTGGAAAGCACTTTTGTAAACAATCAACACATTTCTAGTCAAATGAAAGCTGCTATAGGTACTTTTCTTGCTGTCCAAAATTCTGCTGTCATTAATACTTGCATCACCTCTGATAGAGCAGTATAGTTAGTAGCACAGTTACGCTGGCAGAATTTTGCCCTACTATATGTGTTATAATAAATACAAAAGGTATAAAAATAGCTTAAGAGTTTGATTGAAACCGACAAACACTGTGGAGTTAAGGCTGTTTTAGTAGGCTATTATAGGGGTAGCTGAATTGTATGATATTAAGTAAATATGCTGCAGTGTGTGGAATGGTATGTGTTGTAATTCTTAAGGCCTAGTTTTCTCTCAGATGCATGCTTAGGGCTTCCACTGAAGTTAATGGGAGCTGCTTGCACCTGAGAGCAGTATTTGTAGGCACAATTGGATAAGTAAAGGATGTTGTGTGTCAGCTTTAAGTTTAAATTTCTGTTTCCCCCCCTCTTAATGCCAAAATATGATTGCATTTTGATATGTTTTTCATGTATTAATTTTCAAATTCTAATGATAATATTGTAAAAGTTTTAAAAAAGTAGAAGATAGGAAAATGTTCTATACATTCCACTGAAATGGGTCCCCTCATCTGCTCAAAAGTTTTGTGTGCTTAAATGCTCTGCTGAATTGGGGCCGGAGAGTAGAAATTGGCCCAGTGTTTGTAACTGAAAACCAGGGCCGCCCAGAGTATTCGGGGGGCCTGGGACAAAGCAATTTCGGGGGCCCCTTCCATAAAAAAAAGTTGCAATACTATAGAATACTATATTCTCGTGGGGGCCCCTCTGGGGCCCGGGCAAATTGCCCCACTTGCCCCCACCTCTGGGCAACTCTGCCAAAACATATACTTCATCTTAAGGATGTTAACCGAATACAACATATGTTGTAACAGTTAATATTTTACAGTGATCAGTCTTAAAGTGTTCTGCTTAATGAGCACAGAACTATTTGGGGATAAGAAGACTGCAGAAATTATAGGACAAAATAGCAATGGTGAAATAAGTTTTACAGTAAACATTTATGGATTCTAGAAATAAGGTATGACAATCTTTAACTCTGACATAAGTATAGGTATTATATATGTCCCTCTATATAAATTAATATGCTTTGAGAGCTAGTAGTTTGAGTTGTTTTTTATTCTAAACGGTTTATTGTAAATCTCCCATTTTCTGAATCTGTTTTAGTCTGGACTTTGATTTTTGTGTCAAAGGAAAATATCAAAGGCTTTTAGAGCTGCCTCTTGCTTCCTGTTGAGGTTATTAATGAGCCAAAGTAAAAGTGCTGACTAGCACTAACTGGTACATACTGCTGGAGGTATGGGAACTCATGTACAGAACAAGTGCAGCAGTATTTGTCTCAAGCAAAAATATTTGTAGGTTAAATGGACACACATCTTAAATTATGAACAATTACTGTTATAAATATGTTGCTTTTTGAGGAAAGACAGTGCATAGCAGAACATACTGCTTGTATGTGAACGAGCACAGAAGAAATTGCTCTGTGTCTTCAGGGAGAAAAGGTTGAATGGCAATACTGCAACTGATTTAATTGTTGTCTGATGGTAGTATGCAATGGCCAAAGAACAAAGCAATGGCATATGTTC